TCTACTACATGTAATAGGAATGTAATATTGGAGAATAATGTTGATTGTGATTTGATCTCTTAAAGATATCAATCCTTTATAAGGTGTCTTATATTGGAAATAGTATTGATGAAATCCTTAATTGAATATAATTATGATACTTGACTTGGAGGCTAATAAAGTAAGTTTAGGTTTCCTTTATGGATGAAACCCTAGCTTTTAGCCTATATATAAACACCGGTCCCTATAAGCCCTAGAACACACAACATAATGCTTCCCATAGAGTAATTGTATCCGGCTAGGTGTTTATAGAAGATCTTGGTGTTGCCGTGCTCTACTACTTTTGTGTTCAACTTTCATGGCCGCCATTAGAATCAGGTCAGTCACTCGTTCGTTTGTGTTTTAATTGTATAACCTTATAAGGCTAACAATTGGTATTAGAGCCAATCCATGGCCGGAAGTGTGCCGACGAGGACGTCAGACCCCTAAGGGGGGGTGGATTGTGACATCCCAAGTCGTCCAGGAAAGTGATCCTTAAATGTATATTCTCATCCCTACATAGAACGAGGCCTTTTGGGAGATCACTAGCTTTGGGTTCCGTAGGAACTTCGAAGTTAAGCGAGAAGGAGACCAGAGCACTCCCAAGATGGGTGATTCACTGAGAAGTTGCTCGTGAGTTCTAAAAAACAAAACCGTGAGGGAATGGTAAACCCAAAGCGAACAATATCATGCTATGGTAGTAGAGCATGCCCGGGATGTGGTGGACCCGGACCGGGACGTGACAATTGGTATCAGAGCCACTGGTTATATGATTTAAACCTATTAGGTTTGAAGTTTGATTATAAAATATTTTTCTTTTTGGATTGCGGTTTTGATCTTAAATCCAAATTGTGATTGCATTTGGCAACACCAACATGCCGGACCTCCTTTGAAACGGGATCAATATGTTTCCGCATATAATTGCATATACTTGGCAACACCACCATGTTGTTTCAATCAGTACAATTGATGATTGTTAATAGGTTATATAACCATTCGGTTTTAGTCAAGAATTTTTAATAATTTTATGGCACGAATCCAAAAACAAAATTAATCAAGGATATAGCAGCAAATCGTGGCATCAATTCTTATATATAAATCATGGTATCATAACTATTTTACAATGGAAATCATGGGAGGTTTTTCTATTTCAAATCTAGTTCAAAGTGATTCCTTTTGACCAGCCATATTAAGCCATCGAAAATAGCTTGCGTTAGGAACACATGAAGTCACAAGTATAAAACCACGAACAAGGCACTGAGAAGAATAACAGTTTCGTTCTATTTTAATTTTCATGCCAATGTTTTGGTTAGAATGATTTACCATGTGCCACTGATGATCTCAATTTTTGTAAGCATGCTATATTTGTTCTGATACGTTACTGAAGAGTCCCCTCCAATTAGCAAGCAGAATGAAGTCATCTACCAAAGCAAAATGGTTTGTTTCATTGACTCTGATTTTCATGATGGTTTATGGTATTTTGGTTGATATATAATTTGGGTTGATCCCTAAAAGCTTAAATTGGTAATAAGATAAAGATATACTTGCATGAGTGAGGTGCTAATTATTGTAGAGCAAGTACATAGATTGAATACCATGTTTCAATTAAGTATGTCATGAATATGGATCAAATTATTTTATGTTTGGCAACTGTATAAAAATAGGCACATGATTTATGTGTTTGACTAAGAATTGAGATTATCAATTTTTAATCTGGTATATGTCAATATACTTCATTTCGATAAGGAAGAGCAATGATAAATTTAAGGTTTTGGAATTTATCTGAATTATTACTCCAGTAAAGGTACCGTTATGATATAATTTGGTTGCCATAAATTTCTATTACACATTCACTGATTTGTTCTCTACAAAATGGCTTGAGGTGATACTCCAATTTAACAAGAAATAATTGCATAAGTTTCAGCAGATGGAGTCATGAAGGAATTAGTGCCATTTGTTGGCAAGACTCGACGCTCAAATCAGGTTATCATAATTTTGTCACTTACAGTTAATTAATCCATGTGACTTTTTGTATTGTTTCAGGACGGAGTTGATAACTGTCTTTTCAACTAAAGCAAGCCGCAACGGCTTAGTTGATGATGAGACTGTGTTTTTGAGTTACTTCGGTCAACTTTGCATCTTAATTAGAATAAAAGGGATAGTCTTCTTGCTTACAGGTGTGGATTAATTCTTTTAGTTTAATTAAGATGGCATAGTATGGGTTTTATTTTACAAAAGTTGTGAAAATCTTCATCTTGCCCATAAGTGTTGAAGTTTTTCATGAAGGAACTTTTGTGACATAAAATCTAGTACTAGAAACTAGTTAATTTTCTTACCCACATGTGTAAATTAATTTAGTTTCATGAAGTTTATTGGGGATAAAGTTCCATGCCATTAGTTACAAATATTTCCACTATGAGCCCCATAATAGGTTGTGGTTTTAAGGCATGGAAATCGGTTGCATCATGACATATTTTGTGTCTCTTCATGAGACTTGTTGATGCAAAGTATCGGGTGAATGACACGTCTAATGGTCACCAAATGACCTGAATTTTGGATATGTTTAACATATAGATGTCTAATATGTGTCTGAAAATTTTCGTAATTTTCTGCCATGTATGTTAATTATGGTGAATTTACTAGTAACCCATGCTCATATACAGTTTTTACTGGCAGATTATGTTGGTCTTTTTGAGACGTGACTTTAGACTACTATTTTGACCCAAAATGGCTCTGTATTTTTAATTTATGAAGATTAGTATGTCTATTTTGATCAGTATAAATTTGGTAGCAATCAAGCTTGTAAATTAATTATGATAAATTCTAAAGTAAGTGTAACTCGTTGCTGAAATTATGTTTGACAACATTATGTTGGTTGAGAAGTCTATTTTATTATGTCTAAAATATAGAGCAATTTTCTTTAGGTACATTTTTTGAAAGAATATATTCACGAGTGTTTGCCCAAGTGGGAGAATTAGAGAACGAAAATTGGGCACTCATTAACTTATATGCAAGTATAAACTCTGAAAATTTAGTGGGAGTTGTTCTAAATTTTTTGAGCATTAAGTGGACTTGCATGAATCTATTAAATTGTTATTCTATCTCACATGTGCTACTCCAATGTCTATAATATGTTTAAGTTGCATGAATGGATACTTGGTATGTGCGTACATTTTTCTGTTACCTGTAATCATTTGGATTTCTCGGTTGATCATTTATTTTGGGGCTCATAAGGACTTAGCATAAATGTGGACCTATTAATACATATAAGATGGTTGTTGGATACGTGTTTTGTGTAACAATGAATGCTGTCAAGCTCAGTTGTACCTTTCATTGAGGTAATATGCATTCATTGACTAAGTAAGGCTATTCCCAAAGGCATATTTTCAAAGTATGATTTAAGTATTGATTTGCAAATTAAGTAACGATGTTGCAGACCAGTGGGAGTTTGAGTTTCGTGTTAGTAATGCCTTACAGTTGCAGATGACCTATAAGGTATGTATAGATCCATGTATTCATTTTAATCTCCAGTTGGATTCATTAAGTCACATTTTTCGTGTGCTAGTCAATCATCTGATGAAATATATATCAGATATCAAGTTGTTATCAAATTGCATATTAAATGGCATGACATGGTTTGTGCACTGGCTCAATTGTGAAGATTTCCATCTTGCCCGCAAGTGTTGGAAATCACTATGAAAGTAACTGGTATGGTGCATAAATCAGTGTCAAAAACATATTAATTCATCTTGCTCACAAGTGTTGAATTAATTTGTTTTATGAAGTTTTGGGATATTTTACTTGGACATGTGCCTATTTGGTATTTTCAGTTGTGTCCGTTGGTTACAAACATTGTTTGTATTGTTATTGGTCTAATGAAACTGATGCATGATTGTTTTGGAGATGTATTCACACCTACAGGTTATGGTGGTTTCATTAGATGAAGGATATCTGCATTGGCAGATTTAAGGCTTCGAAGAAGCATAAAGTGTAACTTGTGAGTTACAATAAGGTGGACATGAGATGATATAAAGTAAGACATTTTGATTAATTTAAAGTTTAATTTAAAGTTTCATCTCTTGATCATAATTTGTGTTTCATGTGAATTAGGATCTTAGCATGTGTGATTATGAAGGTTTTGGGTTGTGTCAATCCTGTAACTTTGTTAGTTCCATGTTAAGAAATGCATTTGATAGAAGCTGCATTAAGGACGAGATGTAATCACTATTACATGGCCACTAAAGTGACATTAATCTCCAATCTCAAGTATAAACATGAATATTACATTTTGTAGACCAAGTGGGAGAATGTTGGATTTATCCAATATAAATCAACCTTTAAGTGGTCTACTACATGTAATAGGAATGTAATATTGGAAAATAAAGTTGATTGTGATTTGATCTCTTAAAGATATCAATCCTTTATAAGGTGTCTTATATAGGAAATAGGATTGATGGAATCCTTAATTGAATATGATTATGATACTTGACTTGGAGGCTAATAAAGCAAGTTTAGGTTTCCTTTATGGATGGAAACCCTAGCTTTTAGCCTATATATATAAACACCGGTCCCTATAAGCCCTAGAACACACAACATAATGCTTCCCATAGAGTAGTTGTATCCGGCTAGGTGTTTATAGAAGATCTTGGTGTTGCTGTGCTCTACTACTTTTGTGTTCAATTTTCATGGCCGCCATTGGAATCAGATCAGTCACTCGTTCATTTGTGTTTTAATTGTATAACCTTATAAGGCTAACAAAAACATAACGCCCTAGGTAAAAGTCTTTCGGGACCTTGTGTACCAAGAGTAATCAATTTGGCCCACGACTCTTTTTTGCCATACTCGAGCATCACCCATATCCCAAGAAAAGAATCTGTATACCTGTTATCCGTCGTGAACAGAGCAATAGAATTTCCATCTCCATAAACAGATAATCGTAATCCCAAATCAAAATTATATGTTAAACTCTTAGGGACTGATATCTAACCGAACAACTGACTGCCCACGTCAAATGTCAGTATAAAGTACTTAGCACCATTAAACCCCCAACGGAGTGTAGGCCAACGAAGAGCCCCATTAACAAAAGCCTGGGATGCGGCTCCACGTAGTTGACATTGAGCAAGAGAACCAAGACTGGTCCATGAGCCAATGGCTAGTGAATATACCTCAGCTACAGCTAACTTCTCATCATCATCCAAAAGAGTGACAATTCTCACAACCTTATAGTCATTGGTCACATCATCAAAACTGAATCCAATTCTAGCATCGTACCCACCATGCGTCCTATATGTAAAACCAGGCACAGGAAGTTTCAGTAACTTTCTAATGGCTGGGTTCCATAAGAAAAAGTTGTAACCATATCTGAAGATATCATCCGCAAGGCAGATCAGCCCATTGCAAGTGCCGACCACGCGAAGATGTGAATTGGACAGTTTTCCCATGTGAGAAACTGGAAATTCTACCTTGGAGTACTCGTCGAAAGTCCGGTTATCATAATGCAGAGAGTAAACCTCGTTCGTTACATCGTCAACGATGGCTTTGTGGAGGAGGGTGGAGCTGGCTTGACCAGAAACCCTATGAACTAGGAAGAGGGGGCTTAATCTCCATGCTTTGCAAACTGATGTCCTTTTTGTCAAATTTCTAATGGGTGATCTAAAAAGGGAGGGTAACATTGCTTCAAATTTTCAATTTTCTTGCTGCAAGTTGCACATATGACACTAATTTAAACACAAACTACTGCAGGAGAGTAAAAATCTAAATACCGTACGAACCAAGAAAAAAATACACAGAAAAATCAGCTATAATTGAAAAATTAAATAAATAAAGGGAGCTGTTCTTGCAAGAGAGTGAAAATTCATACAAAAAAAAGAGGGAAAAAATGGTAAAGAATCCAACTGTGAAGGGACAACAAAAACCCTTGGAAAAATGCTAAATCGTCAGTGGTACTCAGTAGAACAAACCCTTAAATCAAAACCTCCCCTTTTATTATGAGAAATTACCCAGCAGTTACAAAGAAACCCACGAAAAAGAAAATAACTTTAGGGTAAATTACATAGTAACCCCTCAACTTTGATATCTATTATAATCTCATACAACATCTTTAAAACATTTCACTTTTATACCTCAATTACTATTTTATTTCAAAATAATACCTCTGTTAGATTTTTCATCCATTGATCCGTTAAGAGGTGACGTGGCTGCTACATTTGTACCACGTGGCAAAAAAAAAAAAATTTTAATTTTTTTTAAAAAACCTAAATCTTCTCAAAAAAAAAAAAAAAAAAAAAAAAAAAAACCTAAAAAACGTAGAACCCACCCCACCTTCCCCGTAACCCCTCCCCACCCCTCTTCTTCCTCTCGAGCCTCCCAACCACCTCCATCTCCTCCACTATCTTCACCTCCCCTCCTTCGACCCAGAGTCCCTCTAACCGCTAGACCTAATCCCAAGAATCCCAACCCCTCAACTCCTCTGCCTTCTCCCTCCAGCTCCACCCCCGCGACGCCCTCTTCAATTCCCCTCCCATCCAAACTCCACACCCCGCCCCAATTCCATTGACCTCCTTTAAGCCTTCATCCGCTCCTACCACAACCTCAACCTTGCAATCGTGCCCAATCTAAGGAAATTGCAGGATGCCCTTCTTGTGACCCAAACCAACAACTAAATCAATTTCAAATCTCAACAAAAAAAAAAAAAAAAACCAAATCCAAATCCCTCGCTGTAAAGCGCTCTCTTCTCTCTGCCGCCAACCCAACCCCATCCCCCAACCAACCCAAAACCTATCATCTCTCCTCACTCTATCTCATCTCACCGAATCCACATAGGCTCCGCTGCCCTTCCCCCAATTTCAAACCCCTACAGTGACACAACCACCACTGTTGACGCACCCAGAGTCAGTGAAGATGGCTATGGTGTATGGTGTGCGCGGTTCTGGACCACCACAAGTCGGTGAGGATGGCGATGCTTCTGGGGGTGTTGGCGTTGTAGTAAAAGCTTCCAATTTGATTGTTCTGACCTTTTTTTTTCAAAAATTGGTCGAACCCAATACCCAAAATACAACGATAGCAGTGCCAATTCTCAAAATACAAGGCCGACATCGTCTTTCTAGATCTCTCCGACGCAGCAGCAGTGCGATTCGCCTTTTTCCAGCGAGGTTCATAGACCTGACGACGTGTAGTCATCCCTGGTGATGTAGATGTCGTCCCCGATGACTAGATCTGAGTGATTTTGGTGGATGGGAGGTAGTTGGAGAAAAGGGAGGTTGTTGGGAGGCTCGGCTCAGGAGGGAGAAGAGGGGTGGGGAGGGGTTTGAAAAATGTTTGGATGTGCTTTTAAAAATGCTGAAAGTGCTTTTAGAGAAAATATTTTTGGGTTCCAAAGGCACTTTAAATGCTTTTTGCGAGAAGCACCAGTTATATGTTTCTTCCAAGAAGCACTTTAAGTGCTTTTCTAGGATTTACTTGCATTTTTACTAAGGATTGGTTCCAAAAATATTTTCACCAAAAACGCTTTCAGTTATTTTAAAAGCACATTTAAACGAGCTCTACTTCACTCGCTATTTAGTGTTTTGAATTTTGGTGGAGGATTTTCTCCCTTATATTTGAACGTTTATGGTTAAGTTACGTAAATATTTTTATATTGATTTTTTTAATAGTGACAAAAAGATAAAAAAATAAAATGTGAGAGGAGGGGAGGGAAAAGAATTATACTCCTTGAATTTAATGTTAAACCCGTGGAGAAATTTTTTTGGACGAGGGTAAAATTTTATTACCAACAAAATAAGAGAAAATTGTAGTAATGGTCCTTACTTTAAGCGTTGATCTCTCAACTAAAAATTTGTGACCATTGATCTCTTAATTTATCAAAACGTGCAGTCATGGTCCTTTTCATCAACTCCATCAGAACTTTCGTTAAAATGAATCATGGTGCAAGAACTATTGCTACAGTTGGAGTTAAAGTTGACAGATCATTTCTTTAATTAGATTAAAATTGAGAGATCATTTCCCTCTTTCAGAAAAAACTTATTTTACCATTAAAAACTTTCACCGCATTGCGCCATTGGGGATTAGGGTCTTGTCCTTATTTATTATCTTCTTGATTCGAACTCTCTATCTTACGCTCTATTTTATAATATAAATTAAAATAGTAAGATCATTTGTATTTTTAAAATTCAACCGTTGCTGTTGATGCTTATCAAACTGGCCATGTGCCTAAGTAAAAAAGTGGTTTCAATTGAAAAATTCTTGCGTAGGAGCTTCCGTTGATGTTCTAGGGGGACCTCCTGCTCTCTATTATAACAATATGGGTTTATGTGCGACTTGAATGTAGGGGTCCTTTCGTATGTGTCTTGTACGGATAAGTAGTGTGACCGGAAAGCCTCTGCCATAAAAAGGTGTTTACCATCACCATCGAGTTGCTGTTTAATATCTAATATAAGGTTACGTAGAGAGCGTCTTACAAATAATTTTGGTATTATTGGTCTCAAAACACTATGATAGTTGTAAGTTCATCCTAACTAAGGACTCATTTAATAACTATTTCAGTTTTTTTTTTAATGATTGAAATAAGGGGGAATGTAAATGAGAAATGAAAAAGAGTATGGAGTTTGGTGCGTACACTATAAATAAACCAAAAACCATTTAAGTAGTTTTCACTTTTGAGTTATTGTTGTCATTCCTTCTTCCTTATTATTGGAGCTCTAAAGCAAAAGAGGTATGACACACTCCGACTTAAATCAGAGCATGCTGGCCGTCATGTGAGAGTGATGTAACCATGTGCACAGTGTAGAAGCAATAGAGATATAAGGAATTACGAATAAACAAAAATCAAATCAACTAGAGTACTAGCTAAGATAATGTGCAAGTGCGAGATTAAGTGTGAAATACACAACTAGAGCATAAATATTCTAAGTGCAGTCAAGCAGGACAAGTATTAATTATACAACACCCGAGGGTGATATGTTCTGTCAGAACCCCCGTCAGAATCCTCGTGATCCACCAAGCACTTCTACTTAAAACCTGGAGGGGCGCACAACAGAAAGTGTAAGTGGGCAAAAACAAAGCTTTTCAAAATCATTCATTTCTCAAAAATTCTAACCCCTTGCCGTAAAACCCATACAGTTTTCCTAGAAAAATAGAACATATATACATATCTCAAAACCATGCTCAGAAAACGATATTCATAAGTATGCCATGCCAAAGTATCTCAATGCAATGCTATAGGTAAACCAGGCAAAATATATAAATATCAAATATCGCATCAGCCAAATCTCTCTAACTCAAACTACACTACTGAGTATATAGCTCATAACCAATCTCAATCATATCAAATCAAATCAAATCCTGCACACGAGTAGGAACCACCTCAAGTGGCATGTACGACAAGACTAGGTGTAAAGTAAATATGCTCTAGTGCTACGATCACGTGAAGGCTGTGCAAATGATCACGGGTCACCTACGAGTCAAAACCACCTAAAATGGTATGTACGACAAGCCTGTGCACCTAACTTAGATCCAAGGTAAGCATATGGTGCGGGAGGTGAACATTATGTAAAGGATTATGCCCTAACTCTGAGCGGGAGCACTAACACTGGGGTGCAGGTTTATGAGCTCTCAATACATCACACCATACATCACATAACCGAAACAATCTCATACCTTTGATTTATGAACTTATCTGGCACTTACCTATGCGTCCGCAACACCAATCATGAATGTATGTAACTACTAATGCATAATTAAAATAGATAGATACCTGCATGGCATTTCCAAAACATATATTCATTTAAATTCATTTTCTGGGAAAAATCTCAAGTATATAGGTATATACGGAAAACCAAAAGCCCACTCACTGGTATGTCGAAGGGTCGTAGCCCCCGAGCCTTGATTGATAGTGCTCGTCCTCAGGATAGGTCTCACCTATATGCGAAATAACTGAATAAACGTTATTTAAAGCACATACACAAAATTAGAAAATAACTTCTCATACAATGCTGGGTTATTTGAGTATACCACCATGATCCACTCAACCTCAGGAACATCCCTATATTTTTAGAAAAATTTTCCGATGTTCCACACGCCATCACGCGCCGACCAAGGCACGGCCAGACGCGCCCCCACGCACAGCCAACCCTGACGGAATCCTTAGCCGCCGTTAGGGAATATTCCGCTAAAAATTAGAATATTTCGTTAAAACTAACCTGACACCGTTAGCTGCCGTTAGCAAGATTCCATCAATATCGACGAAATATTCTCATTTCTTCTTCGACAAATCACCAGTCGCCATCGCTGGAAACTGGAAATTAAAAAAACCTTAATATCTTCTTCATTTCTCAACCAAATTTCACGAATTTTATACCAAAATGAAGCTTAAGACAAGTAGAACAAAACCTTACCTTTCAAAAATCCTAAAATCGACGGAACTCGTCGGAAAATCCCTTGATAATTCGGCTAAACCTATAACTCGTTGAAACTCAACTTCCCGACCTCCAAATCACTTCATTTTTCTTCTCCAAGCTTCGTGAAGATGATCTAAAGCTTCCTATAATCTTAGAACCTTCCAAAAACTCCACATTTACGTGTGCATGAACAGTGCTCAAATCAGATATTATGGTTTCTCGGGTTTTTCAAGGTTTCATGTCCAAATAATAGTATCAATGGGTTCTTGGGCTCGCAA